AACATTTTGCACCATTTTATTTAAGTTCACATCGTTTCCCATTCATTCTTGCTTCTATAACTGTATCACAGGACTTGAAGGTCAGGAAAGATCATAAGATCAATAAAATACATAAAATAGATTACATAAGAGACATAAAACCAAAATTTAAAATCACAATTTAGGACTGCTTTAATCAAATGCAAATATAACTGTCTTCAGCTGCCACCTGAAGATCAAAAGTGAGGGGGGCAGGTGCACCTCTGTGAGGGAGGGTTACTCCATACTCGTGGGGCTGCCACTGAAAAGGCCGTCTCTCACGTGCCCACCAAGTGAGCTTCCTTGACTGATGGGAGAGTCAGAAGGGCCCCTCTCTGTGATCTTAATTCACAGGCAGGAACATATGGGAAAATACAGTCGTTCTGATACCTTGGTCCCAAGCCACGCAGGGCTTTAAAGGAAAAAAAGAAACACCTTGAATTGGGCTCATGAGTGGATTGGTACCCAGTGTAATTGCTGTAATACCAGGGTTACATTCTCATAATACTTGGACCCAACCAGATGCCTAGCTGCAGTAACTGTAGCTTTCGACCACACTTCAAGGAGAGCCCCATGTACAGTGCATTGCAATAATCCAATCTAGATGTAACTATAAGGCATGGATTACTGTGGTTAGATCTGACTGAGCCAGGAACAAATGCAGCTGGCACACCAGCCAAAGCTGGGCAAAAGCATTCTGGACCACCATGGTGACCTGCTTTTCTAAGGTGACCACTGTGTTGAGTAGCACTCCCAAGCTGTGATGTGGGCCCATGTGTGTGTTTATCCGCCTCCATTAATGTGCATTCTGATCAGGCCTGTAGCCATATTGGGGCATTTCGGGGCTCTGCCCCCTCAAACATGAGGCACGACCCACAATGGCTGCTGCCCCTCTCCCCCTCCCCAGGGTTACATTCTCATAATACCTGGACCCAACCAGATGCCTAGCTGCAGTAGCTGTAGCTTTCGACCACACTTCAAGGAGAGCCCCATGTACAGTGCATTGCAATAATCCAATCTAGATGTAACTATAAGGCATGGATTACTGTGGTTAGATCTGACTGAGCCAGGAACAAATGCAGCTGGCACACCAGCCAAAGCTGGGCAAAAGCATTCTGGACCACCATGGTGACCTGCTTTTCTAAGGTGACCACTGTGTTGAGTAGCACTCCCAAGCTGTGATGTGGGCCCATGTGTGTGTTTATCCGCCTCCATTAATGTGCATTCTGATCAGGCCTGTAGCCATATTGGGGCATTTCGGGGCTCTGCCCCCTCAAACATGAGGCACGACCCACAATGGCTGCTGCCCCTCTCCCCCTCCTCCTGTGACATTAAAAGGGCCCTCCAGCTAATCGGTGGGAGCACATGGTCCACTGATCAGCTGGAGGGCCCTTTAAATCTTGCAGCCGCCCCTCTCCCTCCCATCCTTCAAGATTTAAAGGGCCCTTCAACTGATCAGCTCTGATCTACCAGCCCTAGTTATTTGAGGCTCAACCCTTAATTGTTTAATTAAATGTAAAACCCAAGGGGGATCAAGAGCGGGGTCATCTTGGTGCCCTCCATGTCCTTCATCACTTCTTCCTAATCAGCTTGATTACTGAAATAAGCTTCTCTCTTGACTAGGAAACTTGTCTCAGGTGTAAACATGTATACATGACACGCTACCTTTGATCTCTAAGTGGGGAAAAGCAACCAAGTCCAACCTAACCCTAACCCGAGCCAGGCCCGTAACCAGGATTCTTAGGGAGCACTAGTTAAGCGAATTAAAGGTAATTTAATTAAAGTTAAATAGACTTCCTGGGGGAAATAGAGAGGTGCTGTCTGGCTCGACAGGGCCACTCTTCGTGCCAGACAGCTGAGCAGGAATACCTGGCTCCTTCCCCGCACCTGCTGGCACTCGGGAGCCCTGGGCTGGAATAGGAAGTTGGGGGGGCTTGCCAGTAAGTCAGGGGGCCTAGCCCCGAGATGCCCCACTGTAGCTACAGGCCTGACCCAAGCTGAGGGCTAGCAGCTTCCAGGTAGGACCTGAAGTTCTCCTGGAATTGCAGGCGATCTCCAGACTACAGAGATCAGTTTTCTATAAGAAAACAGCCGCTTTGGATGGGTGACTCTATGGTATACCACAGAGCCTAGGAGAAACCTGCAAACACAGTCTCCAAATCTCCAAGAATATCCCCAGCAAGAGCTGGTAACCTTACCCAACCAAAAAGGTCAATCAGATAACAGAATCCAGGAAACTGAAGGTATGGCTGGTGTGTTTGAAGCCGCTGGGCAATATTATGCTAGGAGCTCACTCCTAAAAAGGAAAGGCTACAGACAGGATAGCAGCAGGTAGGGGATCGTACAACTAAAGTGTTGTTGTTTTAAAATAGGGCCCTAGTGACAAGATCTGAGGCTACCCAGCACCCTGCACTCCCTGAAAAACAAAAAAACATGTCTAGCCAACAGCCTGCCTAACACCAGCCAGGCACGATGCAATTCACATGGGGTCCTCCTCACACCGCCAGGTACACCTTCTAAGGCAGCAGGTGAGCACAAATGAGAGAAATCCACAAAAATATGACAGCACTGAACCTCCTGTGCCTCAAATTCAGGCACTCAGTTCTAGTCTAAATCAATCCAGTAAGCAAAGAAGATTTAGGAACATTGTCTGTGTCCCTACAAGTGCTAATGGACCACGTAGGCCAGCCTATACACAACAATTCACTATACAAGCATTTCATTTTTATAAAAAAAAACAAAACCAAAGACCCCCCCCTGCTAACAATCTAGGGGAATCTATGGTGCCTAAAATTAGATCCCCCGATGTTCTGGTTTTCAAAAACACTACACACCTACAACCTTCTGACTGTGGATCATGTATTTTGACTGTCAAATTTAAAGTCTTGTTATTCTCACTTATTCCAGAAAGGAAAACTGTCGACCAAGTTTCACTGGCTACCGGAATGAGCCCTTAGACACCCAGGATCAATGAACGTACGGAGTTCATCATACATCACTCGCAAGGATCACATGGGCAGCATCATATACAGAGGACCAGGCTTGGATATGGGGGCCTTTGTTCACATTTCATTTCATCCATTAAGCTTGCCGGCCTCCGGCAACATCCCTCCTCCTGCCCTTCTCCCTAGAATTAGTGGGAGAAAAGGTGGCTAAATAAAGTGCTTTGCCCACGGAAAATGCCACAGAGGTTAAAAGCAAAAATGACCGCTCCTCTTGACCACCTGACCAGCACGAGTATAAGCCAAGATCTCTGAAAAATCTCCATGATATAAGGGAACCCTCAAACTCCTTTTAACAAGGGAGGAAAAAACAGATGGAATTACTGCTCCTGAAAACATCAAATATCACGACACGGTGCCTGCCGGTATAGTGCAATACAGTAGATAAAATCAGTGTAGAACCTAACAATGAGCCAAACATTGAAATGCGTGCTGGAAAAGCCTACAATTAAAAATGAACAGTTTATGCAGAAGACCTTGGGTTACAATCCACATAGCAGACTCATTAGCTTCACTCCCGTTTGTCCTTTTCTGCATAAAAATTCTCACTGTGTTAAGTGGTTGGTGTGTCCCCTGAACAGCTGCTGGTAACTAATCGGAGATCTAAGCATGCCTTTCCTAAGAAGTGAACGGCTTTCCCAACAATAGCTCCCTTTTCCAGTTCAATAACTACCCCACAAAACTTTGGTTTTTAATCCTCATCAAAGACAAAACTTTTCATGGCATTACTAATACACTTCATGCAAACAATCTGAGTCTTGGAGTAAACCTTCTTGGTTGTTGTTCGGAGGGGGCTAAGATTCAAACGTTATGCTCAAATCCGGCATATTGGGCCAGTGAGAAATTGGCATGGTAGTTGAGCAGTCAGTGTCCAAGTGTAGTAGTGAGAGCGTTGGAGTACGATCTGGGAGACCCAGGTTTGGTCCCCACTCTGCCATGGACACTCGCTGGGTGGCCCTGAGCCAGTCACACACTCTCAGCCTAACCGACCTCACAGGATTGTTGTGAGGGTAAAACGGAGGGGAGGAGAATGATGTCAGCCATGTTAGGCTCCCATTGGGGGAGAAAGGCAGAATATAACTGCAGTCAAGAACTAAGCCGTTTGCAAGTTGCGGCTGGCACCATTCAGTGCTCGACAGACTGAGAATTCTTGTTCAGACCCTTCACATCGATGATTGATTGTGCCAAAAGAAAGCTGACTGTGCACGGAGAATCTCAGACGGCTTTTCTGTGGCCTCCCCCGCCTGCAGCAGCAGCCTCTTCCCCATCCTGTCTGCTGCTGGCCACAGTCCTTAAGAACAGAACATCACTTCACAGTGAGTGACATGCAGGCGTGAGGCCTGTCCCTTAGGGCTGCCTGAACCACTGCTGGTTAATCGGAGAGGCAGAAGAACTGCCTAGAACAATCTGGGCACGCATTCTCCCAGGGCTGCCAGCTTCAAGGTGGGTCAAGCAGCAAATAAATATGCACTGCAAGAAACTTTTGGAAATTAATGTGTTCTGTTTATAATTAACATTCTATAAAGTGCATTGTGCATTCTTATAACATCCTAATCAGGTATATGTATTCAATACATTCAATATATATACCAGATTAGGATGTTATAAGAATACACATATTGTTATATAATATTGTTATATTGAACATAACATCCTAATCTGGTATATATATTGAATATATTGAATACATATACCTGATTAGGATGTTATAAGAATGCGGAATGCACTTTATAGATTGTTAATTATAAACAGAACACATTGATTTACAAAAGTTTCTTGCAGTGCATATTTATTCATTACTTGACTTTCCTAACACTGTAGCTTGGGTTGCTACAGCTTCAAGGTGGGGCCTGGAAATCTCCCACCGCCACAACTGACCTCCAGATGACAGAGGTCGGTTCCCCTGGAGAAAACCTCTGGCACTCTGATAACCGTGAACTGAATATCAGCAAACGGAGAAGTGTTAGGAGAGAGACTGACCTGTGAGCCTTTCCAAGGCATCGAATCCATGCTTTACCGCAATGATATCCAGGAAAGAAACCGTTCCATCCTCAAACCTAAACGAAAGGGGGAAACAAAACATGCTGACAACAACTCTCTGCGGCCGTCCTTATACAAGTCAGTTTCAAAAATTACAAACATATTTAATAATATTGTCCTTTTAGAGTGCCTCACATGTTATTCTGAGTCACTGCTTACCGCAGCACTGTCAGGCAAAATAAGTGCCAACAAACCCCTCAAGGGGTCTTCAATGAGTGTGTCGTTCCCTTCTTCTCCCTGTAAAGTGAGCCAGGATTAATTTCGTATTTCAGAGTCGAGAGAGCCCGGAAGGCATTCATTCTGGTAAGATTCGAACATGGAGCATCCGAATTAGTAGCTAAGCCACTGAGACATGACACTAACGTTATCTGTGCTCTTGCACAAATTTCTACCTGGCTGCCAAGGTGGCACCTGTAGCCCTTTCTCACAGTTCAGTAGATGCAGTGGCACCATTTCAAGTTCTCAGAGGCAAGGGAGGCAAGATATCAGCAAGGGCAAGGATCAAAGGCCTTGGATATATTCTAATTTTCAGGTAGGCAGTACATTTTCTAAAAATCAAATTAGAAATTAAATTAAACTATCGTATGGCATTGTGTGTGGTACAGCCAGGAGATCCTAGGATTGTCTGGCAGCCTGACGCTCTAGCTCTTTTTTAGCATTATGCAGCGAGATAGGCTTATTTTGGGGGTGCTGGGAGAGCCATGACTGACCCAAGGTCACCCGGCTTAGCTTCAAGTGGAGGAGGGCGGAATCAAACCCAGGTCTCCAGATGAGAGGCCGTCGCTCTTAACCACGACACCATGCTGGCTCCCCACCTTTTCTGAAAAGCAAAAACGGTGCATTTCTTGCCCCGACCTGGAGGGCCTGGGCCAGACTGCTCTGCTCAGACCCCGGAAGCTAAGCAGGGTTGGTACTTGGAGGGGAGACCGCCAAGGATGTCCGGAGTTACTACTCGGAGGCAGGCACTGGCACTGGCAAAGAACCTCTGTCCATCTCTTGCCCTGAATACCCCTACAGGGTCGCCAACACCATGCATTTCTTAGATTTTTATCCTCACCATGCCGAGTGACATCCTTGGCTCCTGCCCCGCACATCTCCCAACAGCCCTGTGAAGTGTGTTAGACTGAGAACCAGCAACCGGCCCAAGGCCACCCAGGGACCTTTGTGGCAGAGGGCAGACTCCGAACCTGGGCCTCCCCAATCCTAGTCAAGTGCTTTAGCCAGGAACACCACAGCTGACATTCCTCATAACCTGAAACAGAGGAGTCCCTGGAGAAGACTCACACGGAGGCTGAATCATCGCTGCCCCTCAGAGCCCCTGAGCAGATGTGTATTCAACAGCCTCGGAAGCCAACCGCCACCAGAATCCCCTTCCGCACAGTGGCAATTCAAAGAATATTCTACTGTAGCCCCGGACACCACCTGGCCAGGAACTCTTGAGGGTTCCATATCCACGGTAACAACTAGGGCACCATCAAAGCAAGCTAAGGAACGTGCATTTTTTAATAAAAGATGCTGGTTGAAAATTTGCATAATAACCTAAGGAAGAAATAGAATATACCTCTTGTTCAAATCAAAGCCTCTATATACACAAAACCATTCGGGGGGGGGGGATCACAACAAAAAATAGATATAACTACAATCAGGGAACAGGAGAAGAAATTCAGTAATGAAAACAACGAGAGACTTAACTATTCTCAGAGGGGTGGTAGACCTGGGCCTAGGTTGTGCCCATGGAGATTCACACCAAGGAATGTTCCTCCATACAACTTCTTCCCCCCACCGCCAACACCTCTGCACAGAAAACTGGGATTCTTATAGTACTGGCTATAAACAGAGGGCCCTGACCTGGATAGTCCGCACTAGCCTGATCTTGCCAGATCTCAGAAGCCAGTTTGGTGTAGTGGTTAAGTGTGCCGACTCTAATCTGGGAGAGGTTTGATTCCCCACTTCCTCCACTTGCACCTGCTGGATGACCTTGGGCAAGCCATAGTTCCGATAAGAGCTGTCCTTGAAAAAGAGCAGTTTCTGTCAAGAGCTCTCTCAGCCCCGCCCACCCCACAGGGTGTCTGTGGTGGGGAGGGGAAGGGAAAGGAGTTGGTAAGCCGCTCTGAGACTCCGAGTGAAGGGCGGGGTATAAATCCAATCTCCTCCTCCTCTTCTTCTTCTTCTAAGCAGGGTCAGCCCTGGTTAGCATTTGGAAGGGAGACCGCCAAGGAAGACCAGAGTTGCTCTATAGAGGCAGGCAAGGGCAGACCACTTCTGAACGTCTCCTCCCTTGAAAATCTAACAGAGTCACCATAAGTCAGCTGTGACTTGATGGCAATAAATACACAAATAAATAAACAAACCAAGGAGTTAGAAGCAGTGCCTACTGGGAGATGTACCACCACTGCCGGAGAGGAAACCTGAAGTACAAGAGAAGAGATTTGACCTGGGCCTCGGGTGTCTTACTGAGCTACGCAGCAATTTTGGTGCCTGTTAAAGATCAATAATATGCTGAGTTTTGGATTTAAATTTCCTTGGTGTAACAAATGCCGTCCTGTACCTGTCTGTTTTAAATTAACTGCGTGTTGTGTAGTGGCCAGAGTGTCAGACTACAACTGGAGAGATCAGGTTAATTAATAATAATTATCGTATGGCATTGTGTGCCTTAAGTTCTAGCTCATTTAGTGTAATGCACCACTAGGTGGCAAGCTAGACTTATTCTGGGGGCCGAGAGAGCTCTAGAGGAGCCCTGACTGAGCCAAGGTCACCCACTTGGCTTCAACTGGAGGAGTGCAGAATCGAACCTGGTTCTCCAGATTAGAGTCCATCTCTCGTAACCACTACACCATACTGACTCTCCAGAGATCAGGGTGCAAAGTAGGGAGACCAGATATCCCTGAGACCTCCCAGCTGCCTTCTCTGCCAACCTGCCAACAGCCATTAGGGGAAAAACATTTCACTTCTGGCATTGTACCTAGAAGAGACATCATGAGGTTGGAACATCACATTGACATCATGCTAACCAGAACTGACATCACGCCACTCGCACAATGTCATTCCACCCTGTCCCCAGCACCAGCCCCTCCCAGGGGTTGCCTGGGATCCCGAGTTCAAAGCCTTATTCTACCAAGGAGATGCTAGGCCAGTTCTCTCTCTCTCTCTCTCTCTCTCTCTCTGCCTAACCTACAGGTATGATGACCAGCTTCATGTTGCAGCCCACGGTTCTCAATGAATCACAACTGATCTCCAGATGACAGGGACCAATTTCCCTGGAGGAAATGGCTATCTCAAAGGGTAAACGAGATGGGATCACATCTCCGCTGGGCTCACCTTCTCTCCCCACTCTCTGCCCTCCCCAGGCTGTATCCCCAAATCTTGAGGCATTTCCCAAGCCAGAGTTGGTCACCCTGCTCACAGGACTTTGTAAGAACAAAATGGAAGAAGGGCACCATGGACACTGTCCTGACCTTCTTGAAGAATTGGGTGGGGCCTTGGGGGTGGTGAGGGATAATCACTGGCTATTCTGGCCCCACCACTTCCGGTCTGGAGTGACTTCCCAAAGGATGAATGAGGAACTCCAGTGCAGCCATCTGATTTTGTACAGTTCTTCATCCACACACTGCCTCAGGAACCGCTAAATCAACTCCCTCAGGGAGAGCTCAGCTAGCCTACAAGCTTGTGTTCCTCAGAGGGGCTCCATCTGAAGTTCCTTTTACCCCAACCATGGGATCTGAACAAGGTCTTAGTAAATGACATCAATTAAAACAGGAATAGTTAACATTATAATCTCTCTAGACAGACAATCCTTAGGCTGCCCCCCCCCCTTTTAAAAAGGCAAGGAAACTCTTAACATGGAGTGGTAGGCATGGTGGGAGATAATTAGAATATCATAATACTTCAGTTAAGCTTTATGCAGTTATTACTGAACAAATCAATCCCTGAAATGCTGCAGCGAGCATGATCCCACTTAAATGAAAGAAATACAAAGTGTGAGATCATCAGTTAACACTGGAAATACAGAAACTGGCTACCTGTGCTATTTTCAGTTTTACAGTCCAGCACTTGATACAAACTGAGGACTCACCTGTGGCCAAACCCTGCTGACACTGTGGGCACTTTGGGGATTGTGAAATAGGGTAGCGGGTGCTGGCACAAAATGGTTGCCATGGGAGCAGAGCTCTCATAAAATGGCTGCTGTGTGGGGAAGTCTTTGAGTGGCCACACAGAGAGAGATTACCAAGTACAGAGATACAAGGAAGTCTGTGGGTGCGTTCAGACAGGCCGTTTAGTCCACTTTCGGCACGCTTCAGTAACAGATTTTATATCCACCTTCACACACCCAACATCTATGCACCATCCCCAGCCGCAGCTTTCCGGCTCAAACCCCCTTTAAAACGGAGTATTTTGTTACCAGGTCCCCAAGTGGTGTTTTCCTGATTCTCCGGTTCTAGCCGCACTTTTCTGACGTCTGATCGCTCCTGCGGTGTCGAGCTACTTCCGCTCAGAAGCCCGAGGCTTCCGCTCTTCGCCCGTCATTTTATTTTAGCGTCGGTGGTATGCGCACAGATGGAGCTCCAAAACGGTGCCTAGTTTTGTTGGTTAGACGTGTTCGGGATCTCACGGAGGCCAGTTTCGGGGTAAAAGTTTAAAGGGAAGTGTTCCTTTAAAGTTTAAAGGGAAGTGTTACAGCTGTTGGGTTGAAGTGGAAATCGCTGTTCTGCGCACACGCGAAAATTTTAATTCTACAGATGGCCGCCTGTGCACATGCCCAAACTGAGGGGGGGGGGAACACTGACGCACGCTCCTGCGTGTGGACGGCGAGGAGAGATGTGGCTGCGCAGCGATCCGGAAAAGGAGGTGAGTGTGATCGCAATTCTCCAGGTTAAAAAAACCCGCATCGCGACCTGAGCAATTCAAACTGCTCCCAGCACGCCGTCTGACTGGAAATACAGTCTGTGTCTAAGATCAAGCTGGCTCTGACCTAGATGGCCCCGGGTAGCCTGCTTTCGTCAGATCTAGAAGCAGGGTT